CCCCCCCCCATTAGTTTGTTTGATGGTTGAAAAACGAATGTTGACTTGTTTTTAAAAACGGCGATATATACTGCTATGTTTCTGAATGATTGTATGCAAATTTTCATTTATTTTTGTGCCGTTAAATGATATGCATGTTTGGCTTTGGTGAATTTTCTGAACGTCTCGCAGACGTTAACCTTAATAAACTGGCCCTTAAATTTGTTGTCATTTGTTAACGTAAACGATACCGTTGAATATACCTAATATACTGTTTTGGTTTTCTGCAGACCAAATAAGGAATATTCAACACCTGCCTATCCATAAATTAGGAAATGAGAAATGAAGTATTTAAATAAAGTTAGAACAAGATGATTTGTTTACAAAAACTCATGCATCAGAACCGCGTCTACTCACTAAATACGGCCCATTTACAAAACATTAAATTGTGAATGTATCACTATTCTCCATTAGACAATTACTATCTTCTACCAGGTCATTTGTGATGTTATAATTTTGACAAAAGTTGGTATTAGACGTTTTACAGTTACGTAACTTTTCAACTCCATCTTTAAATGACTAAACCATCCAAAAAATGGAGGAGTTTGGTAAGCTATAGTGAAAGCTAGTTATAACTAATAACTATTATAAGAGTACCATAAGCGTTGCCCAAGCGGTCTCCCAAAGGGGAGCCGGCGTAAGAGATACGAAGAACACTGGTGCTAAAACGAAAGTTTTGACGCATAAATCACGAACCCCAACTGATGACACTTCGAAATCTTCACTTTTTTACGTTCACTTGGTTCTTGATTCAAATGAACTGGCTTTGTTGTAATTACAAATGTAAAAGTGGCTTTTTGGTGGTGGATAACTTCAATTCAGGTATACTTAAAAACCTTATAAAAAAGGCCCAATTATGCGATAACTGCTACATACACAAAAAGATTACCTCTTCGTATACGTAACACAACGCTTGAACTTAACTCGAACTCGAAAATTCATTTTATACCGGCGAATCAAAATCTCTTACAACACTACCTTTAGCTTTCTTCTACTAGAACTTTAAAAACACCACGACTGATTGTTTTGCAGCAAAATAGTAACCAAAAGCGCCTACCTAAAAGCCCCGTTTAACGTCTGCTACGTCTACATTCTTCCCTTTTTCAACTTAAATGCTGTTTCTTTAACAATTTATCAACATTAGCCAATCAAATCTGGCAAACAGAACGGCCGGTTTCCATTCTCGTCTACTTCAAAATGCGTCTTCGATAAACTAACACCTGTGTTTACTTTGGCGAATACCTCCTTATCTCTACACTAATTACGGAGCGAGAACGTATTCCTTATCGCAAGCCGGATTTAAATGAGATAAACCTTTAGAAAACAGTACGCAATGATTTCCAGATGTCCCTAACATTTTTAACGTAATCTAATTCTACAATAAAAATTCAAAATACAAGCCAAATACTATGATAGAAATTGTGTTAAATCTATACTACGTACCACATTTTAACTTGAATAAAATTGAGTCGTACATTACACAGAGTTCAAATTCAAATTAGAACTTCGATAATTCCAAAATTTAAGTAACTCTACATTTTTAAAATTCCGTAGGGTTTTAATCAAATTGGTGATCTTTATTTTTATGGGTCATTGGTTTACGTGTGCATGAATCATGATGAGTTTTGGCAGTTATTGTGTCAGTATGTCGGGCGTGGGTGGTAGATAAGAATGTCTTGATGGGGTTTAAGCCTGGGTTTAAGTGCTCAACATTGCTAAGTTAGATTTAAAACTTAATTGCAAAATTCAACGGTCGCGGGATTTTGAATTATAACCCCAGTGCTCGCGTAATTTGTTAAACTAAAATTTAAATAAATAAATAAAATTTTGAAGGGATTTTCAAGAGATTTTCATAAGATTTTGAAGAGATTTTAAAGAGATTTTGAACATATTTTGAAGAGATTTTCAAGAGATTTTGAAGAGATGAAGATCTTTTGAAGAGATTTTCAAGAGATTTTGAAGAGATTTTGAAAAGATTTATTTTATTTATTTATTTATTTATTCAAGTTCATGTTAGGGTGCAAAGCACTTACAAATGTCAAAAAAGGTTTACATGTAAAAGTGTATATAACATAACATTTTGAAGAGATTTTGAAGAGATTTTCAAGAGATTTTGAAGAGATTTGGAAGAGATTTTGAAGAGATTTTGAAGGGATTTTGAAGAGATTTTGAAGAGATGTTGAAGAGATTTTGATAAGATTTTGAAGAGATTCAGAAGAGATTTTCAAGCGAAAATGCGTTCACGGAAGATCGTTTGCGGCCATTGCAGTACCTAATCATTGCAGTAGTTTTTATGTCGAACACAGCAGAAGCAGATTAACTGGAATTCTCAATCAAATAAGCGTACGAGCAAATTCGTATTGAGAACTATCGCTAAAAATTATAACAATGCGAGTGGACTTTTCCGGCGAATGCATAAAAAATTAGAATATCGTTTTGATCAAATAAAAATTCAAATACGAAAGCGAAAACGAAAACTAACCAGTTTCGACGTTTACTGTTTAGCATTTTAAGTGCT